ATTATTATATCTTATTAGACATATTACACATAAAATAGTATTGACCACTGAAAGCTTAATGGTTAATGAAAATTCATAAATATTTTATACATTTATTAATTATTTAATTTTGCCAAACTATGTAATAATATTTAAGTATTGAATCCATATTATTTTTATTTATTTATTTTTTGTAAAGCAGAGTTTATGTTTCAATATTTTTAATAGATTTAATATTGATTATGATAGCCTATAAATTATTATTTAAAAACTTTTACATTTTTTATAAAGATCATTATAATTATTTATTTATATTTTTAATATCTATAATATCCTAAACATCAATTATTAGTTTTAGATACTTTATTTTTACAACATTTTTTAAAGTATAAGGTTGAATTATATTTATATATTATAATTATATTTAATAGAAATTAAAACAATATATTAAATCACAATTGACCATCAACATATTATTTTTTACAAATATTATTTTTCATTCCAAAAATGCAGAACATTAAATAAATTACTTCATTTAAAGCTTTTTTTATACAACTTTTCTTTCGATTACTAAAATTTTACCTCAACACATTATTAATAAGATGCTGAAAATAGTATTAAAAAACTTTTTGTGTACTTCAGATTATTTATAATAAAACATTGGTATTTTTATAAGTAAAGTTTATTTACGAATCCATGATATTCTGGCATCTGTTATCTATTTTTTTTTTTTAAATTGCACTGCAAAAAGAATAGAAATACTATCAAGTTATTATTTTTATTTCCCTTGAGTAATAAAAAAAAATTATATTTTTAAAACCAAGTTAAATGCCGATTCAATACAACATATTCTATTATAAGACTTTTATGGTAGGTACAGTTTATACCGATAAAACATCAACACGATGTTCTAATTGTAAATAACACAATACAGCGATTAACCGTTTTGTACGCTTGTCGTCACTATTTCAAAGATTTTTATTGAATGTTTTCAAGTAGAATTTTGAAATGAATAATTCTTCAATTATTTTTTTTTTTAAATCTTTTAACAATATATCAAATAATGAACCGTTTAAAAGCTTAATTTATAATAACGTGTACGAATGAAATAATAAGCTGCTTATTTAATATGTTTTTATTTTATTTTTATCCCGAACAAATATATTGTTAGTTTTAAACATTGATTTTTTGTTACTTCTTTCTGTGAATACTTTTTTGAGTAGGAGTAATAAAAATGTTTTGTGTAGGTATCGTCTTTACAAATAGGAAATCAAGTCTAGTTAATAAACTTTTAGAAATGGGTCATTTCTGGATTATATTTCTTTTTACACAATAGAAAATAATATCCTATGTATAATAATATTGAATTGATGATTGCAGGAACGACATGAGTCAATTTTTAAAACTTTTGGATAATTGATAAAAAGTGTATAATTTAAATAATTCTGAAAAAATTTTTATTTAAAAATGAATATTTAAAGAATTATATTACACACTGATTATACTGAAGCCGTTTTTCCATCCATTACTCAACACATAAAAACAGACGACTAGCATAATATGTTTTTGCTAAAATTTAAATTACACAAAAAATGTGTCTCGTGTCGTTTTTGCAATCATCGATTCATTAAAGAGCAATAGACTTATTTCAATTAAAATCCATTGAAAATATGTTATGCTATTGCTAATATAAAGTAATATTTCATTATTTATTTTTTTTTTTTTTATACATAACCAACACATTGCATAAATGTGTGCAATTTATAAATGCATACATTTTATTAAAGAAATTGTTATTTTTTTTTTTCATCTTAACAAATAAAAAATTGTTATTCAATATGAACATAAAGAACTTTTAGTAAAATTGAATTTTTTTAAATAAAATGTTAATAATGATAAAAAAAAAAAAATAAAATAAAATTGTGCATATAAGGCATATTTTATATTATTTACAAAATATAAAATTAATTCCAAATAATATTACTCTTACTATGTATATTGCAATATAATATTTTGTTATGATAACATCATGTCGTCAAGGTTAAATAAAATATTTTATTGAATCCGAATAAAAAAAATAAAAAAAAATGAGAAGAATATATGATAATTCTTTTGGTTTTTTAATAATATATAAAATAACACATCTATCAAATTATGCAGTGAAAACAAAAAGAAAATGATTTAATTATTTGGTCAATATAAAGATAGGATACAAATACATAAAACCTATACAATAATAGAAAGAGTACTGAAAAATAAACTAAATTAAAAATTGTTTAAAAATTTCAACATTGTATTTAATTTAAATGAATAAAAAGTTGTTGTATTGCCTGCAAGTACAATATTAAATTCTAAATGTAGCGAAGAATACATTGTTTACTTTATTTTCTAGAGTTAATTTAGTAGTTACTTGGATAGGCGTTTTAAGCTATTTGGAAATCGTTTTGATTTAATTGTAACGATAAACTTACTATAGAATGTTTTTTACGGTAGATGTAAGATATAAATTGTAAATTGGTTACACTCCATAGATCAATTAGATAAGAAATGTTCGTATAACCCTGGATAGCAAATTTAGACTTACATTAGGTAAGTAAAATATATAGTATGAGATAAATGATGCAATTGATTGCCCTGATTTATCAAGGTTTATTACATTTAAAAATACTTTTATCAACTTAATACGTACTTTTTCAATCTTCTAATAAACATTTATTTTATGTTTTTATTTCTGCGAGAATCTTGCACAGTTACAATATCGTATAATTTTTTATTTTATTTTGAGTTAAATGTTATCCATTGATCATATTTAGACAAGTATATGCTGTAATAGTATATAACTATTGTAAAAAGTATCAAATTTAAAAAACATGTACCTATAGATGAAGTGATGAACAATAATGATAGATTTATGAATACGATATTTCTCGTTATTTCGGTATAATGTAATAAAACCTTCTATTATTGATAAATGTAAAAATGTAACTCAATTCATTTCAGTAATTTTCATTAAAATTCTGAAATTATTAAAAAAAAAAAAAACTGTATCCCAAGCATAATTGAAAGTCAAGTTTATATCATATTTTTTTTTTTTTTTTTATAAATGTTAAAAGTTGAAAGCGCACCGAGATGTATTTATATGTTAACGAGTACCACTCAAAAAAAGTTTTGAATTCTAAAAATAGTAACGAATTTATTGGTCATACAAAGAAGTGTACTTTTTAAAAATTGTTTTAGATTCTGAGTGAAGCGATATATTGAGTTTACAATGATGTGACTTTTAATTTGTATTGTGTATGTGTGTGTGATAAGTAATAAATTGATACGATACTTTGATTTTCAAAAATAGGAGTGCTTTAGGATTGAAAATTTGATTTAGTTAGTACTTTGAAAGGATCAAAATTAAAATTTACCAGTACTTTATTTGATAATCGGGGAAAACAAAAATGTTTACGCAAACCCAATTTTTGACTGTAGATGCTTGAAATTTTGACTAAATATTCATAATATCATATTCTATTTACGATGAAATTTTGAAAATGTTGAGCTATTTATAGGTATGAGAAGTTTTAAATTTTTTTAAATTTTTTTTCTAAAAATGTCGATAAAAAATTATTCATTACATAATAGTTTTTAAAAATGTAATACAAGATCCCGCAAACGCTGATCTTTTATCCATTCAAAAATACTAAAAACTCATATTCACAATTTTGTTTACATGTATTTGAAGTTAGAATTGCAAATTATTTTGTAATATCTTTTTATATTTAAAAATGTAGTATAAGATTCCTCATGAGTTCATACTGAAACTACAAAATCTAAAACAAAAATATTTTCTATTCGAAATGTTTGTAGACATTTGAAGTTCTAATTTTAACAGCTTTGAATATTAATACAATAATAGTGATTTAAGTCTTATTCAAAAAAATTAATCGTAACTTTTGTATACTTTTGACTACCTAATTTTAAATTATTTACACACTGAATATTTTTTCACCATTTTATTGTACATCAATATTGACTTTTAAGGTAATAATAGTAATACGATAATATGAAAATAATTATTTATATCATATTATATGCTATGTTCTTTTTGACAAAAATTAGATAAAAATCTACTTTTTAATACACTTATAAAAATAGAAATAAAATAAAAAATATTCATAGAACAAAAAATTGACACCGAGGTTTCTACTCAGAATCGTTTTTGTTATGTAATGATTTAACACTTCTATTAAAGAGAGTAAATACTAGAGTGATTTTCCTAGTTATTTACCATTGATCACTGTTTTTAAATTATAACTGACAGCACAACTCTTATACACCTTTACTTGTGGAGTGACCTAATCAAAACTATACCACTGGCTCAACTATATAATATCTGACATAATATTGCGAATATTATACTACCTTTCAAATGCAAATTGTATCCGACTTTTTTAAGTCCCGAAAAACATCTTTATTTTTCATAGTAAAAACGTTGGGTTTCTTACAGATATGGAAACTCAAAAGAACCAATACGATAGAGAAAATAAATAATATTAATAATAAAAAAAAAAAAACGCAGTCAATAATAAATTTATTGCAAACTGTTCAATAACGTTCGTAGGTACGTTCAGTAAATAATATTAGTCGTATTGTTGTTTGATAATTTTCATTTTCGTATACAAACTTATAAGTTATAACATTTATATTATAAACGCCTTTGCGAAATTCACGTGAATATATCATTATTATTATTATTATTATTATTATATAAACACAATAAATGTCAGAGTCGGACAAAATATTCTGTCAAAAGCAATTCCGGAATCAAAATCCAATTTTCCCGGTAACGGTTCCAGACGCTTTCCGTCCCCATGGAAACTAGTCATGCGTTTTATACATTGATGCAACAAAAAAGGTATTTTCGGAAACAACAGGCGTTTTTGGCACGCGCCACCAGCTACGCCACTCTCGGCAACGGGTAGGACGCGCCGTAACTAGTGAAACAGCAACTGCGTTCGCGTCTACTTGTTGATTTTATCTACCACCTGCAGCATAATATACTTAAAATATTTTTCGTTCTCCGCTCACTTACCACTCGCTCAAAAATCCAACGCGGCGCATTTCGAATTAGAGAAGTGGGTACCGCCGACACCGTTTCGTTTACCGAAACACACATACTCATACACACGACTACTTCGTCAGGTAACTCGAATGCTGACAGTTATTTGCATTTAATTTTGGTGGCAATCTGATTTTATTGACATATATAATATTTTGACGACCAGACGTCTGATTTAAACACCATGTGCATGTTATAATGTTATTAATACTTTTTTCACCATTAATTTTTTTCCAATTTTTTTTTTTTTTATTTATAAATTATTTATCCATGGGTGGACATACACGATATATATAAATAATACTATTGTATGTTTTATTTGTTTCGTTGCCCGTTTCAAAAATACATACTGAATATAATTATATAAAAACAAGTATTTCGTAATATGTATTTAAACATTTTTTAAAAACTATCTATTATAATATTATAAGACAATTTACTGTTTCGTACAAATAATCGTTTGCGAAATAAATAATATGTAATCAATTCAAATACCTACTATATCGGTGAATTGATAGTTGTATAATTTATGCGACTCATTATATTATTATGTACCTATGCATGTGCATTTTGTGTGTATTATGAGCGATAGCAGTTTTAATGTTTTAAATTTATTGTTAGTTAATATATTATACTATAGTGACTAATATACAATCATTAGTAATGTATTAACATATTATTATGCATAAATGTTTATTTAAAAGAATTTAATTTATATAATTTAAAATTGCAAAAAAATATAAACTTAATCATGTTATATTTTCACTACAGTTTAATTGAAATTTTATAAAAATGTAAATAACATTTTTCAAGTTATATCAATAAAATTATGTTTTAAAATCTATTAGATGGTTATTTTTGAAAATTTTTACTTAAGTACTCTATAAATCTATCATGGTTATGTTTGTTATTTGTGTAAATTAATTATTTTAAAATAATGTCCATCTAAAATAACTAATAGTTTATTCCCATATAGGCAATATCTATTTAATATTTAGTAATTAAAAATAAAATACATTTGGAAAAGTTTCCTTAACTCAACAATTTGAATTGAACTAGTGGAGTAATTATTATTAAGTAATTTATTATTTTTCATAAATTATATTTAAGTAAATGGAGATATTGGTTTTTATTCTAGATTTAGGAGGTTGGTTATTTGATTAGTATTATGGTTAAAAATATATTATATATTTATATATTATTATAAACTTGACTTTATAAACAATATTATAAAATAAGTTATGTATTAAATACGACTTTATATATATTATACAAGTAAAATGTACAGTTGTACTTGAGAAATTCAAAATTGATTATAAAATTAAAAACAGGTGAACTTATTTTTCTTTTTAGTAGGTTTTATATAGATCAGATCGCCATTGAGTCACTGCTTAATGTATAGGTCACTGTCACTGTGATGTTTGTGTTAAGACTTACATTTTAATTCAATATAAATTAAGTGGACATTGCATACAATAACATGGTTAGTTTATGTTATGTTATTATGAAGTATAGTATTTTTTTAAAATTCGAATAGTTGATTAAATGTTAGCCAAATACATCGAATTTAATTTAAAACTGACATACAAGTATCAACTCGTACTTATATTTCAATAACAACGCATTGTGGTACGAATAGGTTCGCAGTATAAATTGCTTAAAATTAGTCTAAATATTTTGAATATTTTATTATTAATTGAGAATTGTAGTAAACGTAATGATAAAGAGTTTAAAATCTCAATGATAAATATTTTTCGAATCACTACAAAATCGTTAGTCAAAAATTCGTTGCGCCTTTAGCACTCAAATTTTCGAACTTCAATTGTTTATAAAAAATTATGAATATATTTTTGAAATTTTTAATTATTGTTAGAAAATCTTATAACAAATATTGTACTACATTATCATACTTTATAACTGAGAAATAGTAACCTATAATATGTATTGTAAGAGGTAGGTATGTAGCTTATTTAATCCATTTTAATTAATTATTACGTAGATATCGTTTACAGATAATGCTTATTAGTAAATGTTTGAGTGGTGTTATTCCCAGGCATGTTACATAGCAGATATTGATAAAACAATTGCTTATGTCTGACTATGTAAACAGCACTACATTCAAAGGGTTGCAGATAATTTACCACGCACTCATCATCAATGATCGTGGAAATAATATTAAGATAATAATGTTATCTAATACATTACTTTACGATATTTGCGAATAATTGGTACGTTTAAAATAAAAATAAAAATATCTAATTAACAAGTATAATAATTAAAATGTGTTAGAAATAAAATAATAATCATTATAATTTATAAATATAGACAAATTCAAATATTTAAATACTATAAAATATAAAATATAGAAAAGATATGTACTATACTTATATGCGCTTACTGTTGTTGATATATATTTGTACTAAATTAGGTATTTTTTTTAAAACACCTTTACATATTATGTAAACATAATAAATAACATAAGTAACATCATTAAATTATATTTCTTTCAATCTTAATGCATAATATCAAAATAGCCAAAATGTGACTTGACACTCTTCTCAAGTGACTGTCTAATTTTAATTAACGTTAAATGAGTAGTTTAGTCCTTTATAATTTTATTTAAACACATTTGATTAACAGTCGATATAATAATTAATACTACATAGCTGAAGAAAAAAGAAGAAAATAATTTGTTTCATTTATACAAAAACTCTCGCGGCGTACAAGAATGTCAGAAAATTTATAAATGTCATAAGTTTATTTTATTATTATTCCACCTATTTTATTTATCTTATTGTAATAATTAATAGCAATAATTTTTCTATGCTATCGAGTGTTTCAATTAATACACTATATAACAGTTAATAGCTTATAAGTATTAATAATTATATATAATATTTCTATTTATTAAAAAAAAAAAAAAAAAAAAAAAAATTAGAACAGTACTTAAATATTTTTATAATAAACTTCTGTTTTAACGAAGTATTTTTAATTTAAGTTTATAAGTATATAGCTAAATTAAAGCTTTAATATTTTATATTTTATCATACCTATGAAATATGTTTCTTAATACTATAATAATAATATTTTTAAAGTATAAACACAATTATGAAAACATTTTTTTTTTTCTTTTTACATACCTATATTGTATAAAACATAATATTATAATCAGTTTAAAGTTAAATCATTTTGCGTGCACGTAACTGACGTATTAATGGAAAACAGTCAATATGAAAAAAATAGATAAAAAAACTTGATATATATATATATATATATATATATAACGTAAAATTTAATGTAATTTCTGTCATATTTTTCATTTTTCATTTTATATAACGTGTAGGTGTATATGTCTTTATTTTTTATATCAAATTGAAGTATAGTTAGCTAAAATATTTGTCAAAGGCTACAGGTGAAATATATTAAAGAAATAAAGTCAAAGAGAGAAAATATATCGAAACGTACCCTACAAAGGTCTGTCAATTATGTTTCAAATTAATGGAATACCTTTTGAAAAAGGGTAAACGGATAGATGGGAGTGGAAATCTAGTACCTATAGAACTTACAGTGTAGCTAGTTCTGATTATTTACATACATTATTTTCTTCAAGATTTTTTTTACTTACTTTTTATATCAATATTATTTATAGCTTAATGCTATTTCTGGATATTGAGTCTAATGTTACTTTTTTTTTTTTTAAATCAAATGTTTTATTTAACAATAATTTTAAAGCGTATTATTTAACAATCAATATAGTTATATTCATCCATCATTTTTAAAAATACTTTAAATTGATGGTGTTTTATCATTGTTTTGTTCAACATATTAATTTAATGTTTTTCTTCAGGTGTATTTTTGAACGCATTTTGAAATACACTTTAGAAATATAAAGTAGGTAATAAATATAAATTAAATATTCATTAATGTTTGATATTTACTATCCGACAACAAAGAAAAGTTATAACATACAGACTACAATTATTATTAAAATAATGTAAATCAGCAAAATACTTTATTTTTGTATTATGTTGTCGATCGAAAGTCATGATGTTGTTCACTAACGTCGCGTTTAATCTATCTAATCTGCTTATTATTAATTACTGTACGTCTGTTCACAAACTGCTCATCCTATACGCAATGCGTCGCATTTGTACATTTATTTTTTCTAGTAGTTTTCCTGACTAGTTTAATTATTTTACACCCTTAAAGGAAAGTATGCTGTCACATATCATTAAATGTTTTTCAACATGTCAAATAATATATCTATTAAATTCGTTTTTCGTATAGTCGTTGTTATGAAAAATTAATTATTTTCTCTATACCATAAAATAATGAAGATTTTTTTTTTACAATTCCCATTTTAGTATTGTGTATTTTATTTATTGTATATGATAAATAAGATAGTTGATATAATTTACATACGTTTCAAAAAAAAAAAAAAAAAAAAAAAAAATCCATAAAAAACAACATCAATCAACCAATCAATCATGATTTATTATCGTTCTTACCTTTTAGATGCCATAAGTCTAATAGTTATAAAAACTAAGAAACTTTGTAACTTTATTAATGATGGGTGATAAGTTATCCTATGGGATCTCTAAAATCATTGATGATTGAGTTTTATTAATAATCATTAAAACTTAAAACCAATAAGGCAATTTATTTAAGCCAATATATAGCGTGCAAATGTAATATTAATTATATTCTCTTAATTTGTTTTATATTTAAGCTAAATTGTATCGTACATTATTAAGTCTTTAATGGGTATATTACCAGTTATTTCGATTGCCTATTTCACATTTTATTTTTCGGTTTACTATGAACTATACATTAGTAATTTAAAATTTACAAAAATCAATAAATAAATAAATATTTTTGTTAGAATCTATATCAATTTTGTAATTAATAATAATAAAAAACTGATTATTAATTTCACCAACATTTTTATTTCTGAGTTCTCCTATAAATAGTTGTAACCTGCAGTATTGTATTTTTTTAAGGTACCTAAAATAATTTTATTATTTATAGTATTTCAAATGAATTAAAAAATCAAAATTACTAAGTAAAAATGCTTGAAAAAATA